CCTGGTCCCAGCACACACCATGACTCTTCTCAGTGGCCCCCTCTCCGGGTCCCACCACCTCCCATGGCCCAACCTCCCTGCTGCGTCCCACCACTTTATGGTGTCCCAGCACCTCATCATGTCCCCAGCAAGCCAGAGCCTGGTCCCACCTCCCCGGCTGAGGCCGGTGCACTCATGACACCTCCTGCAGGCAGAGCAGCACCCAGGAGCGATGCTGCCTGTGCATCCACCCTGCACAGCTCCTGTGGGTGCACCAGAGCACAGGGACCTGCTGCTGCTGGCAGAGGTTTTGCAAGGAGGGGGAAAAAAACCCCTTTTCCACCCAAAAGGCACAATCCCAAAAGGAAAAGGGGAGCATGGGGAGTACTCACCGCTGCCCGCACGAAGCCATCAGCCGGCACCCAGCGGGCTCCGAGCCTGAGTAGGTGGTGGAGGCTGAAGTCAGCGTTGTCATGGTGATCACAGCCATTTGGGATGGGGCTCAGCACCCGGGATGCAGGAAACAGCCCCCACGCCAGCCCCAAGGGATTTCAATGGGGGGCCACAGCCAGGGCCGGGGGTGAAGGCAGATCCGTGGCCATGCGGGGCTGCTACTCCAGTGGGATTATTGCCCGTTAATGCAGGCAGGATATTTATAAACCCTCCCAAAATAGTCTGGGAGTGTGGAAGTCCCTGCAAGCCCCAGGATGAGGATCATGGGGATCATTCCCCTGTGGGAAGCAAAACCCCTTTGGGGACCCCCAGACTCCCTTTGGACAGGCCAAGGATGCTTGAAAGCAACTGGAGCTAAATGTGGTACTTCAAGCCGGGTACCAGTAAGGACCAACGATGGTAACGCAAGTGCAAAGCTCTCACCTTCTCCTCTAAACTGAGGTATTCGGGGAGCCTGCTGGGGCCTGATCCTGGGGCGATGGCTTTGCTGTCACACGGTGCTCCAGGAGCTCCTGCCTGCTGGGATGAGCGGCTGAGGAGGGAGGAAAGAATAAACCTTCAGCAGGGGTGAAATTGTGCAGCAGAACTCACCCCTGGCTATAGGTGGACTATACAATGGGGGACTTGAGGAGCAGCCCCCCGGGTGAGCCCTGCTGCTGGCCCCCCTCGGCACCACATGGCAGGGGTGAAATGGGGTTTCTAGCCAGGGAAAGCTGTGAATAGCACACAAATGAGTGATGTGCCACAAATAACACTTTTATTCACTGTTAAGGCCTGTGTGAGTCGCAGCGGGGGTTGTCTCTGCCTGCAGCTGGACTGCTTTTGGTGAGAAGAGGTTGCTGCACTTTATTTTCCTCACCACGAGCTCATAGAATCGTAAGATGGTTCGGGTTGGAAGGGACCTTAAAGCTCATCCAGCTCCAGCCCCTGCCCCGGGCAGGCACACCTTCCACTAGAGAAG